AGCCCCCCTCCCCGCAGCTCATCCCCTTTGGGCCTGGGTATTGCCAGCACCATGCAATGCTTCCGCAGCACCACCTGCTACCTTACGGGTTGGATTTCCCAGCCTCCTTTCTGAGTCTCCTCGTGCGTGTTGAATCCGCCGCCCGCGTTTGCATGCACAGATCCATGCGGTGGGCTGGGGGCGCCTGAGGGGAACGGCTGGACCTGTTTGCTGTGCACACATGATGGGGAAGGGGGCAGGTGGCAGGGGAGGGTGCGGAGGAGCGGGAGCCAGGTGATGGGGAAGGGGGCAGGTGGCAGGGGAGGGTGCGGAGGAGCGGGAGCCAGGTGATGGGGAAGGGGGCAGGTGGCAGGGGAGGGTGCGGAGGAGCTAGTGGTAGGAGGGGGAGGGAGCCAGGTGATGGGGCAGGGGGCAGGTGGCAGGGGAGGGAGCGGAGGAGCGGGAGCCAGGTGATGGGGCAGGGGGCAGGGGGCAGGGAGGATGGGGAGGAGCGGGAGCCAGGTGATGGGGAAGGGGGCAGGTGGCAGGGAGGGTGCGGAGGAGCAAGAGCCAGGTGATGGGGAGGAGGCAGGGGGCAGGGAGGGATGCGGAGGAGCAAGAGCCAGGTGATGGGGAAGGGGGCAGGTGGCAGGGAGGGTGCGGAGGAGCAAGAGCCAGGTGATGGGGAAGGGGGCAGGTGGCAGGGAGGGTGCGGAGGAGCAAGAGCCAGGTGATGGGGAAGGGGGCAGGTGGCAGGGAGGGTGCGGAGGAGCAAGAGCCAGGTGATGGGGAAGGGGGCAGGTGGCAGGGAGGGTGCGGAGGAGCAAGAGCCAGGTGATGGGGAAGGGGGCAGGTGGCAGGGAGGGTGCGGAGGAGCAAGAGCCAGGTGATGGGGAAGGGGGCAGGTGGCAGGGAGGGTGCGGAGGAGCAAGAGCCAGGTGATGGGGAAGGGGGCAGGTGGCAGGGAGGGTGCGGAGGAGCAAGAGCCAGGTGATGGGGAAGGGGGCAGGTGGCAGGGAGGGTGCGGAGGAGCAAGAGCCAGGTGATGGGGAAGGGGGCAGGTGGCAGGGAGGGTGCGGAGGAGCAAGAGCCAGGTGATGGGGAAGGGGGCAGGTGGCAGGGAGGGTGCGGAGGAGCAAGAGCCAGGTGATGGGGAAGGGGGCAGGTGGCAGGGAGGGTGCGGAGGAGCAAGAGCCAGGTGATGGGGAAGGGGGCAGGTGGCAGGGAGGGTGCGGAGGAGCAAGAGCCAGGTGATGGGGAAGGGGGCAGGTGGCAGGGAGGGTGCGGAGGAGCAAGAGCCAGGTGATGGGGAAGGGGGCAGGTGGCAGGGAGGGTGCGGAGGAGCAAGAGCCAGGTGATGGGGAAGGGGGCAGGTGGCAGGGAGGGTGCGGAGGAGCAAGAGCCAGGTGATGGGGAAGGGGGCAGGTGGCAGGGAGGGTGCGGAGGAGCAAGAGCCAGGTGATGGGGAAGGGGGCAGGTGGCAGGGAGGGTGCGGAGGAGCAAGAGCCAGGTGATGGGGAAGGGGGCAGGTGGCAGGGAGGGTGCGGAGGAGCAAGAGCCAGGTGATGGGGAAGGGGGCAGGTGGCAGGGAGGGTGCGGAGGAGCAAGAGCCAGGTGATGGGGAAGGGGGCAGGTGGCAGGGAGGGTGCGGAGGAGCAAGAGCCAGGTGATGGGGAAGGGGGCAGGTGGCAGGGAGGGTGCGGAGGAGCAAGAGCCAGGTGATGGGGAAGGGGGCAGGTGGCAGGGAGGGTGCGGAGGAGCAAGAGCCAGGTGATGGGGAAGGGGGCAGGTGGCAGGGAGGGTGCGGAGGAGCAAGAGCCAGGTGATGGGGAAGGGGGCAGGTGGCAGGGAGGGTGCGGAGGAGCAAGAGCCAGGTGATGGGGAAGGGGGCAGGTGGCAGGGAGGGTGCGGAGGAGCAAGAGCCAGGTGATGGGGAAGGGGGCAGGTGGCAGGGAGGGTGCGGAGGAGCAAGAGCCAGGTGATGGGGAAGGGGGCAGGTGGCAGGGAGGGTGCGGAGGAGCAAGAGCCAGGTGATGGGGAAGGGGCCGTGGGGCTGGGCAGCCTCCTGCTCACCTGCCTGGTGCTGGCCGGCCTGCGGAGCCTGCGCGCCAACCAGCACAGCATCCGCAAGAACGCCGCCTCTGCCCTCTTCCTCGCCGAGCTCGTCTTCCTGCTGGGCATCAACCAGGCCGATGCCCCCGTGAGCCAGGGGGGCAGGGAGGGGCTCCCCGTGGCGTGCTGCGTGGGCAGGGCTGGGCCCTGTGCATGGAGCCCTGTAGTGTGCATGCAGAGCCTGTGGGGCACGCGGTAACCGGGACACCCCGAGAGGCCTTTCCTGGCTCCCCTAACGCCCTGCTCTCTCCTAGTTTGCCTGTACGGTCATTGCCATCCTGCTGCACTTCTTCTACATGGGCACCTTCTCCTGGCTCCTGCTGGAGGCGCTGCACCTCTACCGCATGCTGACCGAGGTGCGGGACATCGACCACAGCCCCATGCGCTTCTACTACGTGCTGGGCTGGGGGGTGCCAGCCTTCATCACGGGTGAGCCTCCCTGCTGGGCTCCTGCTCCCCTGGGGCGTCACACGTGCTTGGGGCCCCGCCCTGCCCTCCTGGCTCAGAGGCGCACGCCACGACGTCACCACGCCGCTGGGGATACGGGTGTTCTGGGTGTGATTGACACTGGGAGCCGGTCCTCGCCCTTCTGCTACAGGGTTTAACTTGGGCACCGCAGGGGCTGGGCTGGTCGCCGTTCGGTGGAGACACGGGCCTGGGTCCTGGATTGCTGGCTCCTCTGAACCGTGCTAGTGTGGAACACAATGAGCGGTGTAGCTCTCTCTTCCCAGGGCTGGCCGTGGGGCTGGACCCCGAGGGCTACGGGAACCCTGACTTCTGCTGGCTCTCCATCTATGACACGCTGCTTTGGAGCTTTGCTGGGCCCATCGCTGCCGCTGTCTCGGTGCGTAAGGAGCAACGGGGCTCTCGGAGGCTGAGTAGTGCACAGGGCTGGAAAGACATTGGGAGGATCAAAGACCAACAGCAGCATGGGCTAGGAGTCAGGGAAGTGTGGTCTAATGGTTAGAGCAAGGGGCTGCTCCTTGCTCTTCCCTGTCCTGCCACTGACTTTCGGTTTGACCTTGGACAAGCCCCTTTGCCGCTCAGTACTTCAGTTTCCTTGCTGAGGTCCCCTGTTAGGGGTAGCCAGGAAGGGCGGGCCCGGGCCATGCAGGCCTGCTGATCTCCACACTCCTCCTGGCATACTTCAGGGCCTGAGCTCCTCTGTGGCTTCTTGGGAATTGGCCCAGCCCAGCCTGACCAGGGCTGTGAGCCCAGGAACCGCTGTGTGGCTTGTGCCTGCCCAGCCCCCCGTCCCCTAGGCACAGCCCCTCTCTGCTGGGCTGGGGTCCTGCCAGGGCACCTTGGTCTCTGTGCTAGGGCCACATGGGCAGGCGGGGGGGCCCCCCTCTCCCCCACAGACCAGCCTCTTCCTCCCCATCCTGGCCACCAAAGCTGCCTGCCTGGCCCAGGAGCGGGGCTTCGAGAAGAAGGGCCCTGTGTGAGTCTGACCGCCCAGCGCCCTGCTCCAGGAGCCTGGGGATGTTTTCAGAGCAGCTGTTGTGCTGGGAGAACGAGCCCTGCCCCCTGCCCGTATGCT